ATAGTTGTCAAGATATTTTAATTTAAAGTTTTAAAAAAACTTACTAAAAACAAGATGCTTGGTTTCTACTGACACCCCCCATATGTACTTCACTGTATCAAGCTGAAGCTTAAAATATCCTGTTCAAATTCTTCACTATAACGAATACTCATTATATCGAGAATTCAATATACGAGTGGGTTGTATTATTGGAATTGAAAGAATTGAATGTGTTTAGAAATTGTAAGGATATTATTAAATACCAAGGTTGACCCGGATAAAATATTATGTTATTCAGGTAAAAGTCCTAACCGGGTACAATCACTATATAATTAATGAGTCGAATTGGAGCTTTGTGTTTAAGCTTCCGAAAAGTTATAATTAGATTTCATTGCGGTTGAACCCCTTAATAAATAGTTATAATTATGTATATTCTTATATTAAAAATTATCCATTTGTTTTTAATAGAAGGAATACCTCGAGAACTATTTCAGTTAATTGGTGGTCCACCTCCAATAGCTTTTGTAAAGCCAGCTTTTAAAGCAAAACCAAATTTACGTAAAAAGGCTGTTCATTGGTAATTGAAAATTTCGTTTTTAATTATAGAATTATAATAATAATTGATAAGGTTTTAATTGAGAAGGTTTAGATATAGATTCGTTAATAATTGTAACATACTTGATAAAGGGAATGGCAAAGTTTCAATAACCAGGGGCGAGGACAAGATGATCAGTTGACACTACAACATTGGGTCAAATGTACACCTACTTCAGAATCAGAAGATTCAGGTAAATAGAACATTTTTATAAAAATATTTAAATTTAATTTTTAATTCTTATTATGTTGTTTTAGGATATTGGTTTGCCGAATACAACAAAAAAGTTGACATCTTGAAATACGATGAAGAAGAATATGAAAAATATTTAACAGGTATCGATCCAAAATATTCACACATAATTTATTTATTTTTAATGACTTATTCATCATAATATTATTTATCTTACGACGTCTAACGATATTTTCAGATAAAGATTGGACCAAAGAGGAGACGGATTACTTATTTAAATTGTGTGACAAATACGATCTTCGTTTCGTAATCATCCATGATCGTTATGAATATAGGGAGCGATCTATGGAAGTGAGTTTGTTTTTATACCGTGATTTATACTTATTTCGAAATATTTCGAAATTATTATTTATCGAATTTATTATATTATTTCTTCTGCTAGGATTTGAAGGATCGGTATTATTCAGTATGTAAAAAGCTTTTACAGGTGCGTCCTCCTGAGGGTGGTGACAAAGGTGCTTTGATTGCGATGAATACTTATGATAAAGGTATCTCAAATCTTATTTATTCATCATAATATGTAATTTATTATTACTAATTATACATTAAATAATTAATTGTAAATAATCTTGAATTTTAAATAGCCAAAGAGGAAAAACGAAAAAAACATATGTGCGCATTATATATTCATAGAATTTGATCAGGTGATATTCTAATTGCTTATTAACTTTGAGCAAAGATATCGCGACAACCAACTGATCAAATTCGATAAAAAATTTTTATTCGAATTCTACATCAAATTTTTTCTAATTTATAGCGGGTATGAATAGTAAATTTGACATGTAAATTTTATGCATCTTAACTCTCCCCCCCAAAAAAAACCTTTAACCACCAATGTATAAATACAGCAAATGAATTTATTTACGTAAATACAGTATAATAATCTTTTCATTCACACTCAAGCAGCTTCAAGAGTTGAGATAAAGATCTATCGTATGACCATGAATTTAATTACTTCCTAGCACGCTTAGTATCTCGTGGTGCAGTAGTTAAAGTTATCCGTTCTCTTTTAGTCTGAAATTAATAGTTTCAATAGTTAATTTTAAATCCAATATTTACAATCTTTATTTCGAAAAAACCTACCGGAACAACAATACTCTCATCAACACTGCCACCATCACCAGTTACACTAACTGCAGCATCCGGTTGTTTCCCACCGACATCACCACCAAAGCTTGATACTTTAGATGCATTTCCTAACCCATTTTGTTTTATCTTTTGAAGTAATAATTTTTTTGCTTTCAACTCGTGATCGGCTTTTTCAACTGCTTTCTTGACGTCCAATAATGTTTGTATAGCTTTTTGCAAATCAACCC